TCATGGCATGCCATGGCGATGAGTTGCTTGCGGGAGAGGAGGTGCTTGCGGGAGATGATGCTCTCAATCTCAAAGCACCCTTTGATGCCGACAAGCACCCCGAGGTGAGAGTAATGCCGAAGACAGCTGCGAGGCGCCACACCGTGAATCCCAGCGGATTTCCCTCGCATCCCAAAAATTGAACCGGCAAAAACCTACCCCAAGGTTTCCTCCAGGTTACCCCGCTGTAGGTAACCCAAAGGATTCAGTATAGGATTCCGCGAGGTTACCTCAAAGTTCGTGGTGACCCCGAGGTTACCCACATGAGGTGACCTGCGGGAAACCGCGAAGCTACTGCAAGGAAACCTCTCCCAGATTCCTGGAACGAATCATGCGCGACCTTGGTACGCGCTGTGAGACTGTTCGCGACCAGCAAATCATACAGTACACTAAATTATTTCTCGTTGTCATATAATAATGTAATTAGGGTCATTTTGACTCATTTTAATCGCTGATAGTATTGATGCTATTTCATAAAGCCTGTTTCCATCGTCTAAGACTCATTTCCTGTATATGCTAAATATACCAAATAAAGAGTGCGCCATATAAAGATGCCCGTACACGATTCATAACAATGATGAATACATTCAAAACACAATGTTAGGACTTACACCACCGTGCAAGTGTGCAAAAGACAAACTATGACTGCACAGAGTAAGTTTCAGATCAAATAGAGATGCAAATATCTTTGAAAATAACACTTCTTCAGAATCAGGTCGTTGATTCATAGTTCATGTCACACCTGAGTAGTGAACACAACACAGAATGGGAACATGTCAAGACCCAGACGGACTGGGAAACACTAGTGCGAAATTACAGCTGTCTATTACCGAGTGGCGAACGTGCTTACCAGGCGAAGAGAATCTGGCAGCTAGGAGGCTCGGTGAACTAGCGCCTGCAAAATCAAGGCGCAAATTAAGACGCAAGGGCATCGGATTGCAGTGAAACATACAATGACAATAAGAAAGCAAGAGCAAACTGGGTGGCTGACAAAGAGAAATGTGGCTTCAACCTGCGAAACAGGATGACGACATGATGCCAAACAGAACGAGCGGCGCTCATCCAGAAACTCCAGGGGACATAAATCATAAATTATCACATCACGGTCATATCGCTTACCTCACGACCGCTACTAAGAGCCTCGCCGCGACAACGAGATCTACGGCAGTACGTGATGGCGGCACAAACCCTGGCATCGCTTCCGCCATCGGTAATCTGCCATAAAGAAACAATCATCAGAGAATATAGAAATTACTCGTTATTCGACTTCGGCAATACCGGAAACCCTATGAAGTCCATGGTAAAATACTGGAAATTTAAAGGATCCTAGTCATAGAGCGTGCACGGACAGCTTTCTGACAACTAAGCTCCAAGTAGCGACGATCGCGGAGCTATGACGCCATGGCGAGTTGGAAAAAGCGTGAGATGGATGATTCAACAACTGAATCAGAGCAACTGTTAGAACCACTGAAATACACTTCGACGCATCACCAAAAGGATCTGCGGTGCAGAAGTGACGTGGAAGGATTTGATTGGTGACAGTTATTCTGCCTGCTTCTCAGCGAAACTTATCAGAATACAACGCGATATGGTGAGGCGCGTTAACCAATCTCATCATTCAGCAGTGCTGCTAGAACTTACACTATTATCGAAACCTGCTGCGGGTCAGCTTCGGTTTCCGAAACAGTGCGACCAAGCCAGTGGACTAGCCTCGTTCCGAGGCAGTGGGGTTTCCTTGAGGTAACCTCGAAACTCTCCTGCATCCTGATTGGTCAATTTGTTTTCTCGATAGTAAACGACATTCTCATGAATTTCGCTTGATATCGTTGTTGCCCTCATGTTTCCTGTTGGGTTCTTGAGGGTAACCTCGCGTGCGATGCGTTGAGGTATCCCACGATTTCGAGCCAATTTCGGCAGTTGAATTTTTGGGATGCGCTTCTCACCACACCACATCCTTCTCAGGTCGAACAAGAGAGGAATGGCCGCTCATTCTTTCTCTATATGTTTTATCTTGATATATATATATATATGTTTGTGTGTGTATGTGTGTGTGTTTTTTTTTTTTTTTTTTTTCCCCCACCCACCAGACCTTGGACGTGGTTGATCTGTTGCCCGGCCCCATCTGGCACATCATCTTCCGCCACCTGCTGCTGGGCGAATCGCACGAGGGACGCAGGATGCGTTTCGTCCGACATTTGAATCGTTTAAAAAATAGACTGCTGAATCGGGGTAGCTCTCCCGTCGCATTGAGGACCTTCGGCTCCTGCTGGCCTCTGCTGCGCTGCGCCATGGTCTGCAAGAGGCTCCTCCGCCATGTCGCCTCCTTCCCCGTGAGTCTCTCATTGCTCCCCGTGAGTCTCTCATTGCTCCGTCACGGTCACGGTCACGGCTAATGAGTCGTGATTTTAGTCAACTCAAAACATGAATTGGTCACGGTCTCCTCGACCATCTTCCTGTCCAGAGCTGCGTGTGAGCAAGGTTTCGAGCCAATCACGCTGCAAGGCAACACTCAGGAGACTTTTAACTTGACTCACGAAGCCGTTCCTCTAGCACCTTCTCATCGCTGTGTCTCTCCGTCTCTCTCTCTCCATCTCTTTGTCACACCGTGTACGAGCAGGACTAACGCAGCCCCTCAACCGCCTAGACCCTGCGCCCACACGTCCCTGGGGAACGCTCTCTGTCTTCCTCAGGCACGCGCCTCACGCGCCCCTCAATCTCGTTCTCAGCGACTCCCGGGACCTGCGCTGCCTCGGCCCTCTCTTGGGACCCTCTGCGCGCTCCCTCACAAGCCTGGGCCTTGGGCTCAAGGAACATCCACCCAGGATTGTTAAGCCTTATCGTATTAAGGGGGGGTACGGGATGAATATAGACTTTCCTCAAGTGGTCGGTTTTAGTATTCGGGAGAATCAGCTGATGTATCCGGGCGTCCTTGAGGGGTTTGAGCAGCTGCAGCGGCTGAAGCTAGGCCATGGGACGTGGCAACTGGGCAAACTGAATCCAGCGAGGTTCCAGGCTTTAAGGAGTCTGAGCATCCTCGAGTGCGACGGAAATGATCTGTCCTTTCTTTCATCCATCACACCGCAGCTGCATGAACTTGTTCTCGCCTCCTCCAAAGGTGGCTCCGCCTCTACCACCCTCGATTTCAAGTTCACCGCTGCTCGAGCTATCACAGTCTTCTTTGACAGACAAGTGGTCAACCTCCGCTTCGCCCTCCCCGCCTCTTTGAAGAGCTTCTCTGTTGCTGCGTGCTCCCCACTGCCATGCGCCCCAGGAGTCACCCCGCTTCTTCAGCAGATGGCGGAAGATGATGTGCCAGACGGGGGCGTCCAGCAGATCAACCACGTCCACCTGGCAGGTGAGGAAATGCTTGGCAAGATGAGAAACGTTGCGACTAGTAAGAAGAAAAAGAGAGGGAGAGCGAGGATTAGCCCAATGCCGGAAGATGATGTGCCAGATGGGGGCATCTAGCGGGTCGACCACGTCATTCCTCTGGCAGTGAGAGAGAGAGAGAGAAATCAAGATAAGGGAGAAAGAGGGAGAGGGGAAAGAGAGAAAGGAAACCTTTATTACTTTGAACGAAGAATGTGATAAAAGAGATCCGCTGAAGAACGTGGTGTAATCGGTATCGCTGTCTGCGGCATCAATCTCACCTGATGGCGCCTCCTGGCATTAGAGGGTGCTGTAAGAGTGAGAGCATGATTTCCCTCTATCGCCTCATCTCCGTGGCTAGCCATCAGCGGCATGCATCAATTGCGCGATCGACATACGCAAAAAACGCCCGCGTTCGAAACCAGGAGGCTTTCGCAAAGCACCAACTGGAAACGAGAAACAGCTATGCAGCACCAATATCAGCACCAAAACTGGAGGCTTTCCTTGGGATCTCGGGACACTTTTATGTAGTGAATGAAGAGGGTTACGCTAGTTACATGATTTTTGCTCGTGGCTCATTTTCCAGCCGAGACACCACTCGAGCGGTTTCACGACGTTTGCGCGAAAGTTTCCTAACTTTTGACGCATGTCGCAATCGTCGAGCCACAGTCTGTATGGGATTCCCATGCAGGAAAGAGCATAGGGATTGCTCTGGTCCGACGGTCCGACGGGCCTTGTCGGACCAAGGCTCAAGCACACTGGGATTTTCTCTCGTCTGAGTTTCCCGCTGTGAGCGAAATCAGAGCTGGTCATTCTGCACGTTTGTTGATGTGCCCCTCGAGTGATGAAAAAACACCAGCGACTGAAGCCTCTGTTACGGTAGAAAGCGATAACTACACTGCATTAAGTTGATTATACAGTTAGACTCAGCATAATTTTGTGGCTGAAAGCTGTCCCATGAGTAGACCGTTTGGCAACAAGTGATAACAGTGGAACATACGTTCCTACTTTACTAACACTTGCCACAGCTGACGTAGCTGCGCACCTGTCTAGTTCCTAACCTATTTAGTAGGGTACCTACGACAGCCCAAGTTCCTGCAAGCTAAGGAATTCCTAGGAGCTGATCCTAGCTGTGGGACCTGTGGTGACCTGGCAACATTGGCATGACTTGTCGCATGCACAACACGCGCCTGACACATCCTCACACTGCCATCTCATGGTGAATCTGATATGAAGAGGAAGTGGGTGTAGTAGATGTGCACGTAAATGTGCATACTCACAAACGCAGCAATTCAGATCAAATCTCTCGAAGCGTGTAGAAGCTCACTCAAAGGGATAGAAGGAAGCTCATTATCCGATCATCCTGGACCATGTCTTGGCTAATGTCAGCATCGTCTCTCCTCACTTGCATTACCGGCTCGTTCCTCCGCCTCTCCCCCTCCCCCTTCCCCTCCCACCGAAACGATCGCCCAACAATGCAGTAGAATGACAGAGAAGGGAAGTGCCGGCGCATAGTAACCAGGGTTTCAAGGTGCCACTCCTGCGTCGCTAAGAAAATCGAGTGCAGATTTGGAGCATTGATGAAGGGAGGGCTAACTACTTAGAAGACCGAGGAATTCAGCATCATCCATTGCAGCCGTATGCCTCCCACCACCACTTCTCCTGTCTTTCACACCGATGGCAAGGCGGCGCAGGCAGCTCCATTCTGCAGGCACCTCCTCTAGCGGCATGCCATGCTTCACAGTCAGCATCTCAACTGTTGGCGCTATGCTGCTCAGTAGTTCCGTCAAGGAACGCCGAGTGGCAGCCATAGAAGGTTGAGAGATTGAGGCGAAAGCGAAAAGGTCTTCCCAAGGCGACCTGGACTGCACGCGGGTGGTTGGTCCGTTCAGTAAGACGGTTTTGGCGGAAGCCAGTGGGAGTGAAGAAACGACAAGCTGGTTCCGGCCAATTAGAGCGAGCGAGTCAAGAGAGAGTGGGGTGGAGCACTTGCAGTTGATCTCCAATGCCTCCGCTGTGGCTGAAAAGGCCTTCAAGGAGGGAGGGAGAGAGAAGCGGAGGTTGAGTCTCTGCTGCTCAAAACTGACTTTGACGACTCGAGCAGCGGAGAACTCGAAACTGAGGTGGCAAGGGAGATGGCTTGCGGCAGAAAAAGAGAACTCGTGCAGCTGTGGTGTGATTGCCGAGAGAAATGCCAGATCATAGCCGTTACAATCCAAATGGTCAATGCTCAGGCTTCTTAGATCCTTGAACCATGATGCCTTCAGGTTGCCTAGCTTCCATCTCCCACAACCGAGCGTCAGCCGCTGCAGCTGCCTAAAAGTCCCCAGAAACACCGGGTTGATCAGCTTGTGTTGAAACGGGATGTATCGGAACGACAAATCTCTGAACCCAAGGCACAGGCTTGTGAGGGAATGAGAAGATGCTAAAAGGTGGCTGAGGCTCTGCAGACTCATCAAGCTGGTGACAGTGAGGTCAAGGGACGTGTGACCTGGGAATTTGAGGAACCAGGAGAGCATTTCTGTCCACTGGATTTCGTGACTGTCGTACACAAGCGTAATTGGCTCCAGCTCCTGCGCACATGGGGAAGAATTAGCTTAAAACCCACCTTCATAACAGAGGACTCTGGAAGCAACAATTTAGCGCCCGAAGCAGTGTGGTTAACTACATGTTACAGATGGATCTACCAATAGGAAAAGAAAAATTCGTCCATGACTCACGGAGAAGGAGATGATATGGTGAAAAAGCCTCTTGCTGGCCATTGCACAGCGCAGCAGAGGCCAGGAGGGGCCGAAGCGCCTCGTGTCCTTCTCATGCTGCCTTATGGCAATGAGCTGACTGGCTGTGGCATACGAGGTGCCCCCTGCTCCTTGCTGCGATGCTCCCAGGGAGTCAACCTGATTCTGCAGCTGAGTGGAACCTTGTGGTGGCAGCAGCAGGTGGCGGAATATGATGTGCCAGATGGGGCCGGGCAGCAGATCAACCACGTCCACGCTCTGATGGGTGGGTGGGGGGAGCGAGGAGGATTGGAGATGAGAGAGGTATCGAGGGAAAATTAGTAATGCTCCTCGACACCTAGTAGTGGTGTGTATGAGGAACCCGAAAATCAGATGCACTGTCTGAAGCATCACTCTCACCTCATGATTCTCGGCATCAGAGAGTGCTGTGAGCTTGAAACCATGTATCCTCTCCAGGACCTCGTTCTGATCATGGCTATCCATGGCCGGAAAACAATCAACTATCCGATGGATTCGACGAAGCAAGAACTACGCTGATTACAGATGTCCACAGAAAATTCTGAGACAAAGCTCCCCGCGAGCTCCGGGCGTTTAACAGTTCTGACTGTACCAGACACCGACGTATCTCAAAGCCAGTCTTGATCATATAGCAGACTGAGCGTATCCCAGTCACCGTGACTGGAAAAGCGTATCTCAGTCACCGTCTCAGTCACCGTGACTGAACACATTCCTGGGAAATCGAAGTATCCTGGTCGTCCTACACGCCTCTCGCCGTGCTCGCACATGTGCGAATCCCTCATCATCACATTCGTGATGGCGACAGCAACACATCGGGCCATCGGGCTGAAGGACTCGGAGACGTAGGAACGCGATACGGCGGGAGGCAGGGGAGGCAGCGGCAGAGCAAGGCGTGAATAAGTGATAGCGGTGCGGTGAGCTCACGGTTCAGCTGCTGAAGCATGCATGAATGGCAAGGCTTGCACAGTAGCCATGCACTTTGTCCTCCTAGCTGGCTGAGCTCGTCTTACGAAGCCACACTTCGGCAAACCTATGCCTCCACTCCACGGAGTCCTAAATTAGGGCGACGTCAGGTTGTACAAATCTGACAGGATTACAGCTATTGTATCGTGGCTCATGACGGTTCCACACGGTGGAGAGCGGTAATCATTGTCTACCGTTTTGCACCGTGACGAGACAAAGCTAACCGCATAGAGCATACAAAAGGTTGTACAACCTGACGTCGCCCTAAGGGTAACCGCGTTTGCACTTCTGCAGGTGTCTCGATTCTCGCAAACCCGTGGCTGAAGACTCCAAATTTGAACACACGAGCAGGCCTGCTGCAATTTCAAGGTGGGTGACGAAAACCAATCACACAACGAAATCTTATTGGGCTGGGTGGTAAAGCAATTCCCAGCATTTCGCATCCAGCGTTGACACTCGAGCGTGCGACGGTAGCATTGCGCTCGCGAGGTAAGGCTTGTTACGTGCACCCCCACTGTCGGAGATAAAGCGGAGCAGCATTTATACAATATACACTAAGAATGGCTCATAATACAGAAACTCCAAAACGTTCTTGCTGCGAGGTTCATCCCTGACATCAAGGCAAGCTCATTCAGCTGATTCGGGTGGGTGCAAGCAAGCTCTTCTATAACTAGCATGCCTGGAAACAAATGATCAATAACTACCTCCATACAGTGCTACATCTGGCATTTGACTTGCACAGCTGAGGTGGCTGTGCACCAGCCAAACCTGCTTCTAGCCTAATTAGAACCGAGCACAGCCTAAGCTTCTAGACCTTGACCTAAACCAGCATCAAATGAAATCCTTGGAGAAGCTGATTTCAGCGCTCATGGGAAACGGTGCTTACTTGTGCTAGTGGCGGCCACACACCCTCGGGCCTCGGCAGCACCAGCAGCACGACCCCTAGCATGCCAATCTCACATTGCCATCTCAGGTGCCATTTGAAATGATGAGGACATAAAAGTGGATGTAGATGTGCATGTAGAAGTGCATGTGGATATGGATGTTGATGAGGGTTTAGATGAGGATGTGGTTGGGTATGGTGCATGGAAAAGCAAAGCGGGGCAAAGAGCAGCCAAGTCGCGGCTCCTCACAGACCCTTGGTTCAGCCACGGGTGCTCTAGCACTTGAAGCGAGCTCAGCCGTTGATCGGGGTTGATGCAGAGCATTCGACGGATGAGATCTTTCGCTGCTGCGGAGATGGGTTTCCAGCCAGGAGACTCAAAGTCGATGTGCAGGCTACTGTTCATGTCCACTGGTGCCAGGCTGGGATCTGGTTGGTGAAGGTGAGCGGATGTGACTGTATGAAAAGTGGCACTAGTGAATGAAGGGCCGCCGCCAGTGCAGCTGTGTGCAGCATGTGCCATGGGGGAATAGATCGCCTGGGTATGATCGTTCTGAGATTGAGATGCCTTGATACGCTGCTGCTGCTGCTGCTGCTGCTGCTGCTGCTGCTGTCGGTGGTAGTCCTGCTTGATCTGTTTCTCCCCCTCATACGATGCTGCTTGCTGCAAACACGGACGTTGACCTGCCCACAACTGCCACCCTCCCTGCTCCCGCTGCTGCCTCCCCATCTCCTCCTCCACATCACCCTCTCTCCGTTGCCACTCCACATGCTGCCGCTTCTGCTGCTGCTGCTGCTGCTGCCACTCCTGCTGCTGCTGCTGCTGCTGCAACTGCTGCTGCTGCGCATGCAGCATGGCCAGCAGCTTGGCTGGTTTAACAATGGGCAGACGGCCTGTGAGCATGGAGCACAGAGTGATGCCCATGCTCCACACGTCCGCCTTCATGCCATAGCTGCACCCTGCATCCCCAGCAACCCCTGTTCCCCCTGCACCGCCTGCACCGCCTGCACCCCCTCCATCCCCACCATCACCCTCACTCTGAATCGCATCCCCCTTGCCCCCTACGTCTCCCCCTCCCCCCTTCCGCCGCTCCCTGGCCATTTTCCGCCGCACCTCCAGGAGGAGTATCTCCGGCGCCATGTACTGCCGCGTCCCCGCGCCCCTGTCCGCCATCACCCCGCGCATGCCCCCCGCCACCACTGTGGACAGCGCAAAATCCGCCAGCTTCACCCCCCAGATACCCCTCTCCGCGCCCACGTGCGCCCACCCCGCGCCCACGGCAGAAAACGAGCTGCTTTCCGCGGAAGCGGGCGGGAGGGGGCAGCGCCGTTCCCCAAACTCTCCTCCAGAAGTGATTGTAAGTCGGCAGGGTGTGGAGAGTGCGGGTGTGCGTGATAGAGAGTGTGACACAATCGAGGGCGAGGGGAGGACAGAGGTAGGGGAGGGCGCAGGCGCAAGGGAGATGGGACAAGCGGAAGAGAGCGAGGAAAAAGCAGAGGAGCTAGAGGAATGCGCAGATTGCGCAGTCAGCGCAGCGCCAAGGGTCGCCTCCGCCTCCTCCCCCGCCATGGGGTGCACGCGCGTGCTCTTACCCGCGAACCGCCTCCCCACAACCTTCCCCGGAACGACCCGCAGAGGACTGTTGCCGCCCCTGCCCTGCGCGCCGAGCCTGTCGGAATTCGCGCCTCTGCCCGCGGCGGAGGGGAACAGCCGCGCGCCGATGAGCCACCCCCATAGCCCCTCCTCCGCGCGAGGCTCCCGCGCGGCCCTCCTCCCCCCGCCCGCTGGCGGCAATGCGGCGCTGCTCGCTCCAATCATGGCTCCGGTGGCCTCTGTTGTTCCGGCGGCACTGGCATTCAATACAGACTTGGAAGGCGTAAGACCACGTGGATGCTCTACGCTTGGCAGGTCAGCTGCTCCACGTGCTTTCCCCGCAATGGCTGCCGCTCCGCCCATCTGCCTCGCAGTTCTCTCCGTTGTTCCTGCCATCTGCTGCTCCGTCGCTGTCCCCGCACCCATCGCTGCCGCGACACTCGTCGCACATCCTGTCGCATGCCCCGTCGCGGGGCCCGTCGCAGGGCCCGTCGCATATATGCGAGGCCCGCCGCGGGCGGAATCAGGAGGCCGCAGCAGAAGAACGTTATCTGGCTTGATATCCCGATGCATCACCCCAGACGCGTGGCAGTACGCGACAGCCGATGCGAGCTGCCGGAACAAAGCCGACGCGAGCGGCTCGGCAAGCGGGCCGCGCTGCAGAATCTCCGTCAGGAGATCGTCGCCGGGAACCAGCTCCATCAGCACGTGCACGCTCGTGTCAATGGATGGATCCAACGGCTGAGATGCGGCGGCGGGGTTCGGAGCAGAGGATGAGTTATCAGGTTTACACGAGTTACCTACCCTTGCTGCGTTACCTGCCCTTACACCTGCTCCTATTTCCGCGACTCGGCCTGCTGTTCCGCCTGTCCCTCCGCATGCTCGGCTGCTTCCCTGTCGCCCAACGATCACATCGTGCAGTCGCACGATGTTCGGATGGTCGCCCACGATCTCCAGCGATCGCACCTCCGCCGCTATGTCGCGCATCGGGGCCTGCGCCATCGCGTAGCTCTTGCATGCGACCCGCTGCGACGTTACGACATCTTCGCATTCCCACACCACAGCCTGCGACCCCGCGCCGACGCGACGGATGCGACGGTATCGCCCACCAATCAACTCGTCGCCCGAAACGTCGCCGTTGCAGTTCTCTCCCTCGCTGCCTACGTGCTGCGAAATCATCGACCCATCAGCGACAGTGTCGGCGCGCTGTGAACCGCCGATCGCAGAAGGAGCAAGCGGTGCTGGAGCGCGCGCAACGTCCAAGAAGCCATCCGCATGCCACGCGCGGTGCGAATCATAAGGAGGCTGCGACTCCGCGTGGGTCATGGGGGCGGGGCCTCACCTCCTTTGGCTCCTCTGATTGGCGCAAACTGCACGACCACCCGTCTGTCTCCTCGCTGCCTACAAGAGCCAAGGTGGAGTTTTACGAAAGCGCTGTGGCGATTTAAGTTGTACCGCAATGCGACTTCGCGCGCCCGTCCGTCTCCTTGCTTCCTAGAAGTGCCCCTCCGGCGCGCTGCCTACCCTGCTCCGTGCGTTCAGTCTGTTTCGCCGTCAGTTCCGCCGTCCGTTTCTGTTCCGCCTGTTGCTTGTTCCGTCTGATCCCTACGTTCTGTATGCTCACTCCCTGTTCGCCCTGTTTGTCTGCATGGGCAATTTCTAACCGTTGTTCAGCCTCCTAATTTTCTAACGAGTGATACTGGCATTAAGAGGAGTAGTGTGCGACACGCGCAGACTGATCAAACACGAAATAAAAACACCTACGCGAGAGAGCCTGACACTAAATTGGAGAAGTCCTTGCTATGTCAATGTAGGGGACAAATTCGGATAGCGGCGGCTGCCATTCAAGCTCCGATGCACCAGAGCGATCATTTCATCCGACGGCAAAGAACGAAAGCAAGCGTAGCCAGAGACTCCTATCCTAGCAGCTGTGTAGGTGGAATGACTTTTCTTGACTCGTCTGTTTGATTTCATGACAATAGCTGGAGCTTTTTCCAGCCCTGGGAATCAACGAGCAAGACTGCCGGCGGCCGCAAGAGGCCACAAATATCGCTGGATTGTATGTCAGTGGTTCGCCGACGATTAACAGACGAGGCGCGGGCGCTCTGCTGTTCTAATCCGAGGGTGACTGAAAACGGAGCTATGCTGTTGAGGGGGGAAGGGAGAGGGGGGAAAAGGGTGGGGGGGGGGGGATTGCTCATGAAGTGATTCTCTCGCCTAAGTAACGAAGCGCGCGGATAGACCTCAATGTGGGACCAGAAAGCGACAGTTTACGCGCTGGGGAACCCATGGCCGGGCAGCGAATAAAGACTGTTGCAAAGATGGGTGGGGATCTGTTACGACGGAATCACGATTGAAAAAAACTCGTCGTAGTTGACCCACGGGTGAAAAATGCAAATGCACCGGTGTGGGTTTGAGCTGTGCCTAGATCCGACTTCTCTACATGTCAAGTGTTTCATCAAACATGACTTAACGAACAGGGCGACTATAAACAGTAAAGGTTTCAGCACGATGTCACACATTGTGGCGCTGGCGGCTCGAATGTTTTCCCAGTTTGCGACAGAGGTGCTTGCGACGCTCGTCCAGCATGTGTCACGAAAAAACCAGGGTAAAAGTTGGGACACGGAAATATGATGGACCAAAGACCGCAAACGGCGGCGCACCACTGCAAGTGTTCGCGAGTGTGGCACAAACGAGAACCCTGATTCTTGAAGGATGACGCACTGAATTCGTTATAGCTGAGTAACACACCCAAGACAAGCAAGTCAGATTCACAACAGCACAGATCAAGCTGGCTATCAGAGTATAGTAGGTGTTTCTGTATTAGCGCTATGCTATGGTAGTTATTCTTCAAATGCTTCTACCGATCACCATATGGTTATAAGTTCAATTCTTTGCCAAAAATGTTTTTAGTATATTTTAATGATAACTTGTCAACAATGTGGTTGATGTAGGTAGGTGTGATCATTGAATGTATATTTCTAGGTGAAAATCCAGTGGCTCTTTAAAACAGTCTTGTAGTTTGTCCGAGTCTCACCATAATCGGGTTAACAAACGAACGTCGTCCCCAAACCTGCTCCAAGCTTCCACGAAGTATTGGAGGAGGGCAGTGTCATCCTTCTGGTTGACGTCGCTCCCAGAGTAGGTGCGCCAATAATTTCGCACGTCAATAATTCCCCATACCAGTTCCAGCTCGTTAGGTTCGCAGTGATTGTTTTCTGGGCAGATTCCGAAATACAGATACAAACCTTTGATCTGTTCTCTAGTGCCAACAAGAGAGCTCGAGTGTGTCTGTTGGAAGATGCGGTGTACGTTTTTGCAAAACCAAAGGGCAGCATCGGGCAGCTTCAGCTGTTCTTCGCCCTGATTTGGGTTGCGAGTTGCGACTCGACGAACGCGCATTTTGAATCCCATCCGGCTTTTGTTTATCACTCTACCCCTTAGCTCCCCCTCGACGTCCCTCCTCACTCGCTCCAATCTTGTTCGCCAGTTGCTCATTCCTGCACTTCATTTCTAGTCCCTACTCGACTTTTGCGTCGTGCATGTGCAACCATTATTCCACCAAGCATCTCGTGCGTCAATCTCATCCAGTTACCTGGAGATCCGCTTGCTCGATAATTGCCAGCCCTGGGCTCTTTGAGAAGTCAATCACACTACTCTCATTTTCAAGGAGGCGTTGAAGTGCGATAATTTCCTACGGAGATCCAGTGCGAGTTGCCAAGGATAGTCGTGCAGAAGCACCTCAAGGTGCCGTCATTAATTTCGCTGATTCAAAAGGATTCTTACTTTCATTCTGAGAGCTGCTTCGTGGACTCTAGATTCTACCGCATTCTAAAAAAAAAACAGCTTATCCTCACCAGTAACACACGTCACATCTCCCTCAACCTCCTCTTGGAATATCTCGACTTCGGGGAACCGCAACCGCGGCGCGAGACACATTTCCGCCGACAATGAGCCCCGCAATGTCGGGGCCGGAGGGTAGTCCCGCGGGGAGCCCGACCGCAGACACGACGATGAGCGATTTGATTGGCGGACGGTACCGGCGCATCCGCAAGCTGGGCAAGGGCTCGCAGGGCAGCGTGTGGGAGTGCGAGGATGTCACCGCGGCCCCCGGCGCGCCGCGCGTGGCGTGCAAGACCTTCCCCCTGTCGCACTCCGCCATCATCGACATCCGCGCGGAGGTGCGCGCGCTCGAAATGGTGGGCGACCACCCCAACGTCGTGCGCCTCGTGGATTTCATCGTCGACGCCGCGGCGGCGGAGGTGCATGTAATGATGGAGCTTGTACCGGGCGGCGACCTTCTATCGGAGGTGATGCAGCGCGGTCCGCTTGCCGAGCCGCTCGCCGCGACGGTTTTCCGGCAGATCGCGTCGGCCGTCGCGTACTGCCACGCGTCGGGGGTGATGCATCGGGATATCAAGCCGGACAATGTGTTGCTTGTTCGACCGCCGGAAAACGCGCCGGAGTTTGCGGACGCGGTGGAACGTGCGACTGCGCGTGCGACGGGGGATGCTGGAGACGGAAAAAGTCGGGCGAAAAAGCGACAGCCGCTGGGCGACATCACAAATCTTCCCCGTGCGACAGCTGCGACGAATTCATCCAAGCTACCGGGGACGATCAAAACCGTCGCAGCTCCTCCCGGCGGACTGGAAAAGGCCCAGCAAACGCCGTCGTGGAGCGCGTATCTTCCGCCGTCAATCGCGGCGACGCACGTGGGAGCGGGACGGCGAATCTGGGGAGTGAAGCTCGCTGACTTCGCGCTGTCGACGGTCGTTAAAGGCGGACTCAACGGGAAAAAGGCGGATCTCGGCGCGGGCACGCGGCAGTACATGGCGCCGGAAATGGACCAGGCCGCATCCGCCGCCGCCTCCGCCGCCGCAGCCGCTGCTGCCGCGGGCGCTGCGGCTGGCGCCGCGGGAGGGACCGGGGTTGCGCGATGTGACAGTAACGGTTCGTACGGGTTGAAGGCTGACGTGTGGAGCCTCGGGATTACGCTGTGCGCCATTCTAACGGGGCGACTCCCGGCAGTCGATTCAGCGACGCTCGCGCTTCACGATTCGCTGCCGATCAACTTCGTCTCGCCCAGCTGGAAAGGCATCTCCGCCGACGCGAAGAATCTCGTCCGTCGGATGCTGCGCGTGAACCCGGATCAACGGCTGAGCTCGTTCGAGGTGCTGGAGCATCCATGGCTGAACCAGAAGGCGGTACGGCGGCTCGACATCACGGCGCGCTGCCCCTCGCTGCTCTTCTCCGCGTCGCTCCTCCCGCCGCCTTTCCAGCCCGCCGCGTGCCGCCTCATGGCGAGCGCGGGCGGAGCCATGGGCGCCGCGGGGCCTTTCGACACGGCGCAAAAGGCACGGGCGGCCTAATGATGGGGGGGGGGAGATGGGGGGTGGAGGGGGATGATTAGCGCCAGGGGAAATGGCGGGCGCGTAAGTAAATGGCGTGGGAAAAACGTGGCCCTCGACGGCGGAGAATCGTGGGAGCTTCCCGCTTGTCATCCGTAATGCATAAGTGCTCGAGTCGAGAAGAGCAGGTGTCTGGCTGCCGAGCGTGGGTGAGGAAGACTCGCCTAGCGTTTCTGCTGGTTGCAGCAGCTGCTGGATGGTCGTGTACGTGATATGGCGAGAGGCGATTGTGGATAGAGTTCGCCGTTTCTTCAGAAGGCAATGATGGCACTGCTGGTGCCACGTCGGGTCGAGCGATGAGGAGAATAAAGGAATAAGCGGATGCCTCGGTGCAATGGTGAAAGCAGCCTTTCTTGGTTATTACTTGTGGGGGAGGGAAAGAAGTTGCATCGGAGGAAGGTATAGGTATGGGGTCTTGGGAAAGCAGGCTTCTCAAATAAAGGCAGGGAACTGAGTTTTTGGGTGTGAGGTTTTGGTTGTGGGAAAGCCGGTAAAGGGGGATGGGAGTAGTAGACAGTTTAGATTTGGGAGCTTGCCTCTAGCTACTCTAGTCTCAGGTATCCATTCTTCTGCCCTCGTCTTTCTTTTGTCTTCTCTTTCTTGCCCTTTTCTTTCCTTCCCTGATCCTCTTTGCTTGTTCATCCTAACCACAAACTAATCAAACAAGGCCAACACCCCCACACACCCCCCCTTTTCCCTTCCCTTCTCACCTCCCCATATACGGTACCACCAGTACCGTAACTGTTCCTTTCCCCCTGTACTGCAGCAGCAACAACTGTCCTTGTCCTTCCTATCAGTCCTCACCCCATTTTCCTCCCCTCCACAATACCATCAATGTTCTGCCTTCATTCCTTCCCATTCTCTGTATAGCAAAACTCCTGCTGTAATGGAAATTCAGATACAAGACCCAGAAATGTACTTGTAGCAGTACCAGACGCTCCTATATGCTCACAGAAGCTCCCAGTACCAATGCAACTGTGACTGCATATTGTATGCTGTGCAGAGCATCGCACCCTGGGCTCCTACGGTACATGCGCGTTACAGTATATACCAGTATATCATAAGGTATTTGAGAACCGGGGAATTAGGCAACGCTCACACACACCCATGCACGGAGGCTATATCTACCGTATACAATACACCAACGAAACAACGCGTAACCATGTCATGCCATGCCACACCAGTCCCAAGTGCCCAAGTGCCAGTCCCATGTGATCAGAAATAAATCCATCTCTACATGAGAGCCAGCACAAGGCCAAGGGAGAGCAGCACACGGAACCATGTTACGAATCCCATAGGTGCAGCAACGGAGAAGCCAGTTTTGGGCACTTGTGTGCAGTTAGCAAGGAGGACATACCCCAGGGGTGGGGGGTAAGCACAGTCAGAAAGCAATAAGCCCTCCTGCTTCTCACTCCCCCCCTCGCCGTCTCCCCCATCCAGCCTGAAAAAGTCAACCGGCTGGAAAGCAGTGAAGGGCACTGGCTGCCACACCACCACCTTCACCACCACCACTTGCTTCCCTGCCTCCTTCTTATCTGCTGCCTTGGTTTTGGTTGCTATTACAGTCACGCTGTAGTTGATCCCTGCTCCTTCCACGACATTCGCCCTCGCTGCAAGCACATCCTGCAGAGTCACATTGGAGGAGGAGAGGCTACTGTTCCGATTGAGTTGGTCCAGGCCGAAGAGAGCGAGGGAGCGGATCGACAATCCATTGTAGGCGTCCGTGTAAGGGGCGATAATGGAGGTATTGAAGGAAACAGTGGGAGTCGTTGATTTGTCAGCAGTGGCAGCAGCAGGGATGAGCACCCACCCTTCATCCACACACACCCCTGCCATGGCCCGTGCCAAGTCCCACTCCACCACCCCACCACCGCCACTTCCACTGTTGCTGCTGTTAAACGCACTGCTGCTGCCAACACCACGAGCACCACCAGCGCTGATGCTGCTGCTCGCATTCCTTCCGGCGCACCCCCCTGCTGCCGCCACGCCCATCTCACCCGCCGTTGCATTCCGCTGCGTCCCCGGCACCACCGCAAACCACGTCACATTCACCAAACTCCTCCCACTCGCATTCACCAGAAGCGGCACCACTCGTGTTCGCCCCTTGTGAAGTTTCAGGCGTGGCATCACTGTTGTTCGTCTGCCCCAAGTCCAGTGCGTGTGTGGCATAGTGTGCCGCCATGCGGGTGGTGTTATCTGCTGCCAGCAGTGTGAGCGTGTACTCTCTATATCCCGGTACCACCACCTGTGCCTCGAGCACAGAAATCAAAAGCAGTGCCGTGCCCTGTGGGAGGGTGGGAAGGCAGGGAGGGGAGCCAGCAGCAGCAGTGTGAGTGAGCGTGTACTCTCTGTAATTGAAGAAGTGTTTTGAGACGTCTCAAAACACTTCTTCAATCAAGTGAGCGTGTACTCTCTGTACCCAGGTATCACCACCTGTGCCTCCAGCACTGAGATCAGCAGCAGCGCGCTGCCCTGTGTGTGGGGGAGGGGAGCAGGCAGAAGAGGGAGAGAGGGAGAGCATGCGCCTGAGCATGGGCCTCGAGAGAAGGGAATGAAGTGCAGGAGACTGAGGTGACTTTTGAGTCGACTCAAAAGTCACCCCATGGCACCTCGATGGTGTTCCAAGAGCATGCGCCTGAGCATGGGCCTCGAGTGAAGGGAATGAAGTGAAGTAGACTGACCCATGGGAAGGGCGAATTTCATCCCATCCCATCCCATCCCACCCCACCCCACCCCACCCCATCCCACCGCTCACCCGCCTCTCATTCGCACTGGCCACCGCCTCTCGTGCCACTCGCTGCACGTCCACATCAGACAGGTCAACGAAAGTCAGCTCATCGCCACATGCAACGGTCGGCCGCAGCACCACGTGCCTCAGTGCAGTCTCCTGCTCCTTCTTCTTGCTCACATGCTCCGACCCTGCCTGCATGCTGAACCACCTCAAGCTGTACTCCCCTCCTCCCCCACCTCCCCCTCCTGCTGTTTCCGCTGTGGCCACTGCTGCTGCTGCTGGAGCGGCCGGAGCGCCTACATGTGGTGGAAGGGCAGCAGGCAAGAGTGCTGAAGGCGCGGGCATGAGAAGGCTCCAAGAGAGGAGCGCGTCGTAGGAGGCGGTGCGGCCGCGCAGCAGGCTGAGAGCCGTCAGTGAGAGCCGTCAGTGAGAGCCGTCAGTGAGAGCCGGTACTCCCTCTGGCCTGCGCTCCAGTCGCCTTCGCGCTCCACCCGGGCCAGACTGATCGGTTCTAGGCTGGCGCGGGGTGAGGGGAAGAAGGGTGGGAGGGGGGAACGCCGTCAGTGAGAGGCGCTACTCCTCGTGGGTTGCGCTCCAGTCGCCGATGCTCCAGTCGCCGATGCTCCAGTCGCCGATGCTCCAGTCGCCGATGCTCCAGTTGCCTGCGCGCTCTACCCACGCCAGACTGATCGGTTTTAGGCTGCCGTTCTGGCGCGGGGTGAGGGGAGGGGAAGAAGGGTGGGAGGGGGGAACGCCGTCAGTGAAAGGCGCTACTCCTGGGACTAGCAGCCTGCTCTCCAGTTGCCTGCGCGCTCTACCCACACCAGACTGATCAGTTCTAGGCTGCCGTTCTGGCGCGGGGGCCCGGGGCGAGAAGGGAAGGAGAGGATAGGGGGAGGAGGGAAAAGGCGGAGAAAGGAAGATTTCATACGGAAAGGGGTGAAGGGGAAAGGAGGAGGAGAATGGATCCTCAGCTGGATAGACTTCAAGAGTGGTGCTCTTGGGACAATGATTGTCGCCTGTCGCTTGTCTCCTGTCGCCTGCCTGTCGCCTGCCTGTCGCCTGTCGACTGCCTCGCCGTGGTCTCGTTCTGCGAGTCGCGGTGAGTCGGCTTGGCTTCAAGAGTACAACGCTTGACTTGAGACGCCTCAAGAGTCGTTATGCTGCATCACGGCGAGTCAGCTTTAGTTTTGAGTCGACTCAAAACACGAATCACGGCGAGTAAGCTTGAGTTCAACACATGATCGAGAGTGAATCAAGTCTCACCTTGGCCGCGTTGTGCTGTGCCACTGCGATTCGAGCCATGGCAATTTTTTCCTCTTCACTTGGCCGGTCCGAATTAGGGTTTGGTGGGGTACCGTCTGCTGCTGCTGTGAACAAAGGCGGTAGACACGCACGACACGTGGATGCCACGTGGCAGAGGATAAGGAGGCACAGCGGGAAAGTCGGACACCGCCGCATCTCAACGCGACGGCACGTCGTGATCGCCCGTCTACTCGAGTGACTTTGTGGCGATTTTTCTCACGTCGAGTGACGGATAGGCGTCAGTACCGGAACGCGGTGTTTGCGACGGGCTTCTGCGATTCGCGTCTTGAATGGTCTTGAGTGGTTACCACTAATAGCGTCTGGTTCCGCAAGAATGCATTTTTCCAACCCTCTCCTGAACGATCAAAAGCTTGTGAGTCGAGAGGTGCATGGGAGACTGCCTGTCGTGCAGTGCACGCGTGTCATCGAAGTTCTTGGCCTACTTGCCCTGCCTCTATTACTATGGCAGTCCCCTCCCCGTTGCCCTGAAAGGCATGGTGGGAGGGCGACGGTGTTCGCGGTGCGTGCCATTGCGGTGTCAGCTGAGAACGAGAAGAGATGGGGATGGACGGGTTTGAGGGAGGGAATGGCTTTGACGACGAATAACGCCAGCAGCGCATGTGACGGTGGTGAGGAGACTACTGTAGTTGTTCTCGGGAGTAGTCTGGTCTGGTCTGGTCTGCGACTCTTCTCTGGGATCTGCGAGTTGGACTTTCGCGACAGTCAACGAATTAGGAAGGAAAAGGTGAGGGAGCCTCGTGGCGACTTTCGGCACTCACTTTCGTGTGAGTTACTCTGTTTCGCTACGTGTCGCGCGGGTTCGCTGAGAAAGGGAGGTACTAGGGATTCGGAAATTGACACGGGGAAACTGGCCTGTCCGGTGGAAGTTGAAGCCTGGCTCCTTGGAAGGAATCTCCAATTTCACTAGTCATACCAGGGAACAAGATGCGCTGGTTACCATTTAGCCAGGTGTGGATTTTTGGCGTCGGTGGGCTCGATGATTGGTTGTCATGTTCAACCTCTTGGGGAATCACAGCCTTCTTATTGGCTTGCTAACAATGAACGAGATTTTCCTAGTCCCAGCTTACGTGTCGTGGGATAACAGATCAGATCGGACCCACTCGATGAAGTCTTGCTTCGCCACAAGCATTCCATCTGTAGCAAACCTCCCTCCCTGTCGAACTCTGCGGAGTGTTGAGGCGAGGCCAGCCAGCCAGCCAGCCTTCGGGGACTTCAGTTTCCGCCTTTCCTTGCTTGAGAAGCGAAGTGACTGGTTTTCGAAACAGGAGGTATGGATGCGTTTCAACTGGCTGGCGAATTACATCTCAGGCGATCGGCGATGCACTGCAGGCGGTGATAGAGCGCAGCGAGTGATAGAGCGCGGGTCACAGAGGTGTATGGAGGGGGAAGGGAGTGCTTCATGATTGCGTGATAGGAGGGGGTTATAACCCGAGCAACGTGTAGGAGCAGCAGATTTCGTTACGAATCCACTGAAAGCCGAGCAACACAACTCAGTTCACCGCCATTGGCCTACCGCCGCTAGCCTATATGCACCTAGAATTGGGGCTTGCTTGCTTGAGTTGGGGCTTGCTTGAGTCTCTTGGTGGATTCGTAACAAACAGAGCCGTTTCAAACAGAGCCGTTTCAAACAGAGCCGTTTCCTGCTGAGAGCTGCTCCAAACAGGGCTGTTTCTTGCTCAAAAAGCTTCTCTGAATCTCCTGTCGTAATTTTCCGAAACCCTCCTGTATTCTTTTGCCTATTCGCCGGCGGTTGCGTAGCTGATCGTTGGCGGTGATGGGTAGCCGTGGAGATGAGGTAGCTCTCAGTCTTACAGCACCCGCTGATGCCGAGAATCATCATGAGGTGAGAGTGATGCCGCAGCCAGTGAAACATCACAACATTTCTAGCCGATTCCCTCGATTCTCAACACATCCTCCTTAGGAAAAGACAATGGATTTGTATTATCCTCGCTCTCTAACTCTCCCTCTTTTTGTTAATTTAAAACATTCCCCAACCCAGATCGTGGACGTGGTTGATCTGCTGCCCGGCCCCATCTGGCACATCATCTTCCGCCACCTGCTGCTGGGTAGCTCCTCCGGCGCATCACAAGAGGGAGGAGCAGGCAGCGCCTCCGGCGCATCACTTCTTAGTCGACTCAAAAAGAAGCTGCAGAGTCTGGGTAACTCCTCGGGCGCATCACAGGAGGGAGCAGGCAGCACCTCGCCGGGTGCCACTGGGAGTGGACTTCTGAGTCGACTGAAAAAGAAACTGCAGAATTGGGGTAATTCCTCGGGCGCGTCGCAGCAGGGAGGAGCAGAAGACGCGTCCTTCGGCTCCTGCTGGCCTCTGCTGCGCTGCGCCATGGTCTGCAAGAGGCTCCTCTACCATGTCGCCTCCTTCCCCGTGAGTCTCTCATTGCTCTCCGTAATCCATGGTAAAATTCTTCTCTGGGTGCTGAGTTATGATGCGGTCACGGTCACGGCTACGGTCACGGCTAAGCTCCTCAACCGTCTTCTTGTCCGTAGCTGCGAATGAGCAAGATTTCGAGCCAATGACGCTGCCAAGCAACATACAGCAGAATTTCAAGTTGACTCACAAAGTCGCTCCTCAAGCACCTTTCAAATTGCCATATCCATCTCTTCATGTGTCTCTCTCTCCATCTCTCCGTCCATCTCTCCGTCCATCTCTCTGTCCATCTCTCTGTCACTCTGTGTACGAGCAGGAATTCGAGCCCATGAAGCTGACTATCAACTCCGAAGACCCCGCGCTCACACATCCCTCGGGAACACTCTCTTTGTTTCTCAGGCACGCGCCTCACACGCCCCTTAATGTCGTTCTCAACAGCCCCCAGGACCTGCACTGCCTCGGCCGTCTCTTGGGACCCTCTGCGCGCTCCCTCACAACCTTGTGCCTTGGGCTCAAGGAACCGAAGCACAGATTCAGGCTCCTTGAGAGCGAGCGGCTGATGCATTCAACATTTCTAGGGGAGTTTGAGCAGGTGCAGAAGCTGGAGCTAGGCTACGGGACTTGGCAATTAGGCAGCCTGAATCCAGCAATGTTCCGGGCTTTAAGGAGTCTGAGCATCCACGATTTCGAGCGCGGCAAAAATGTTCTGCCCGTTCTCTCATCCATTGCGCCGCAGCTGCATGAACTCGCTCTCGCCTGCTCCACCCATGGCTCTGGCTCTACCTCTACCACCCTCGATTTCAAGCTCACCGCTGCTCGATCTGTCAGAGTCTGCTTTGAGAATCAACCGCTCCACCTACGCTTCGCCCTGCCTGCCTCTTTGAAGTCCTTCTCTGCCACTGCGGCCTGTCTCAATTTGGATTGCACATGCAACAGCCTCCCCTTTCTTGACTCGCTCTCTCTCATTGGCCGCTCGCAGCTTCTCGTTTCTTCGCTCCCATTGGCTGCCGCCAAATCCGTCTACTTGAACGGAGGCACCCAAAAAGACCAGTGGCATGCTTTTCCTTGTTCCAATCTCGAATCCCAACGTGCCTTGACCCACCTGCTCAGCAGCATAGCGCATACAGTGGAGACGCTTGTATTGAGGTACGGCTGGCCTCTGGAGGGCGTGCGTGCGGAGTGGAGCCGCCTGCGCCGCCTTTTCGTTGGTATAGATCGTAAGAGCACTGGGGGGATCAGTTATAAATCTTGTCCAGGGGATCCCGAAGATTCTGATTTTCGGGAGTTCATTCGTGCGGGAGAAGAAAAGGGCTTCAGAAGCAGCAGCAACAGCAGCAGTGGCGGCTTGTTGATTAATGCTCCGAACTTGGAGTCTTGTCACGATGTCACATGGTTGCTTGATATTGAGATGTGGGGGAGGAAAGGGGGGCGGGATTGTTTGGGAGAGTTGAACGAAGGCACAGGGAGGTTGTCAGGGTTTTGAGTGAGTCGAACCAGGTGTGAGGGTTGCATGTGTGAGGGAGGTGTGTGCAGGGACAAGCGGGAAGGGTGGTGTGTGCTGATTATGGTGTTGGCAATGGTGAGACCATGGGAGTGGTGTGGCCATGGGGTGGTGTGGCCATGGGATGGTGTG